TGTTGTTGTTGTTGTTATCACCTTTATTATCGTCATAATGACTAATTAGTATTATTAAAGTACAGTAAATGGTACACAATGTATTATGTCCTTTATTCGAACACTGTATCCCCCGAATAATTCACCATCAAAAAAGGTAAAATAATGAATGGAGAAGAGACGAGAGGATCTCTGCTGGAAATGACACTCTTATAATTAAATTTCTCATAATCGATCTAATTAATCGCTGTGATGTTCCATTGAAAATATAACTCAATTGTATTTTTAATTCACTTTACCTACTTCATGTGTATTTTACACATAATATGTACTATATAAAATACAGAAGTAACAATGAAATAATACTACCAGATTTCCAAACTGATACAGTTTAAAATTGACGATTCATTTTCTAGCCTACCTTGCGCCGAACCTTTAAGGCTAGCTGATACACATTTAAAAAATAAGAACCATTAAAATTTTGCTCAGACTCAGTGTTCTTATTTTTTGGCCAATTTCAGGCTCAAAATATTCTTATTTTGTTCTCATTTTACATAATTTATAAACATAAAAAAATTATTATTGTACAGTATTATACACTGTACTTGAATGTAGGTAAAAGTGGCCCCGAAAAAATTGGGCCCAGAAAAAAAAGCCCCGGTTAACATGGCCCAAAAATACAGTACACCTACTGTAGGCCTATTGTTTTGCATAGTCGCATCTACACATAAGGTAAAGATATTTGTTGGTTTTTCTAGTATTTAAAAAAAAAGTGTAATTCATTTTACTTAATTAAAAACAAAAAGAAACCATACCTCAAAGTCACAGAGTAAAACATTGAGAAAGAATTTAATTTGAATCTTAGTGAACTCGATTCCATTACAACAACAAAAAATTACAAAAAAAAAAATTACACGCCTTAATGTTCAACTAAGTTGTACGGTAACTCTTTCGGTTTTCGAAGGTTAAATGTGATGCATTTCTGGGTAATATATGAGATTTGCTGGTCCACATGCATGTGTACCTTCCAACTTCGTAACAGGGCAATTCATCAACGTGAAGTCCTTCTGAAAACAAATTCTAATTTCTGCTAGGTATTCTGTATTGTTTACCTGTACAAGGAAAAGCAAAATGGAATTATAAAACGTCTGGTAGAGGGCGCTTTGACATGCAAATTAATTTGATGTAGTCGGTCCTACTGAATAAAACTAGACCTACATAAATATCTGTCCCATGTTTTTGAAAAAAATTAATTAATTAAAAAAAAAACATTGGTGAAATGGAACCTGTCAAGTGTAAGTGTAGAAATCAAATATTACTTTACGGTATTCGTCTATAAATCCCCGCTAAAGAACCATAAATAAGCTCGGGATATATGCAAAAAGTGGAATGATTAGGCCTACGAATATCCATTTTAAAACTTACAGTCAAACATTGCACAATGGGATCCATCTTAAACGCGTTGTAGATTGCTTTGGTGATATAAGACAAAGAATACTCTATCCCGGGTAGGATGGATGCTGATTTCAGAGCCCTAAAACAGGACACGAAAACAATCAAGAATAGCATAATGACAGTTTAAAATTATATTTCTTTTGTATGATTATCATCATAGTCATCACGATCATAGCCATCATCATTATAATAATCCTGAAAGGTCATCATAGTCGTCATCATATTCATCATAATCAACATCCATCATAACTACCACTATTATCGTCATCAATACCATCGTCGTCGTCGTTATCGCCATCATCACCACAACAACAACATACAGTCGCCAAAATAATCAGCGGCACTATCATCCTTCAAGTTCATCATCACCATCAACATCATTGTAAATTGATATTTAACATTATTTCATCATTAATATCATTTCCACCCCCTTCGCTATGTCATTAAAAAAATAATCATCATAAACATTCCATAACCAACAAAATTCCCATTGTTGTCATCCTTGATAAAATAACCATTGTCATAATCGGTATCATCCTCACCACCACTACAACCATCATAATCATCATATGATTCATATAAAAACAATCATCATCATGGTTACCATCATCATTATTATGATGACATTTAATTATCATCATTATTGCAAATAACAACGTGATGGTTATCACCAAATCATATCACCACCATTTTCCTCCTTACCCACATCATTACATCTTAATCTCCATCGTTATCATTTTTATGCTCGTCATCATTAGTCATAATCATCATTATTATCGAAATTATAGTATTCATTATCATTGTCATAATCCTTATAAAGGGGACACCTTTGGGACAAAAAATGTCGCCTTAAGGGGTGTCCCCAAAGTAGGAGTACCCATTCAGGGGACACTAACCAAAAACGTGAAATGACGACATAGATCCTTTATAATTTCATTTTAATTGACCTAAGAATGAGTTACAGTTAATTATAACTAATTTATAACAATAATTTGCAATGCAAAAAGTAATTCATTGGAAGATATGAAATTAGCATAGGCCCTATATGTAATTAAAGCTACAAAAGTTGTATATGTTAATATTTTTTCATGATTCAAATGCAAAGTTAATGACCAAATATTCTATTTTTAAATGTTCCACTTTCTATTGGATGCACATAGAATAGCAGTGCCGGCGGAACGTTTTTCAAA